TTTTTTTTTTTTTATAAAAACAGGAAAAAGATTCATGTGTTTGCTACATAAACTGAATGAATACCGTTAGATTTGTTTCGATAGATTTCAGGATGAATTGATTTAAATACTGTTTTAAAAAAAAATCTCACTCTTTTCAGAGTTATTTTTAAACATTCGAAAAATTTGGATAACTAATTTTTACATGCAAAATTAATTTAACCCTTTTAAAAAGACTTGGATTTCCCAGATGACTTCAGGATTCTAAATTTTGTTATGTTCAATTTGAAAGCTATCTTGAAATGTATATGAAAATATCGCGTCAACTTTATAAGAGTTTTTTAAAAAAAAATAATAAACATAAAATCTTGTTTCGAACCTATTGTCAATAGTTACAACTTTGAAGTCATAATCATCACACATCCAGCAGCTTACAGTATAATGATGAAATAGTACAGAAAATCTTAACGATGTTGCATAAGAAACTGTTTCGAAGGCAATTGAATTCGGAATGTGAGGAATAAGTTTAGAAAGAGTTTTGAAAAAAAGAATTTTCAATATCACAGATGCCGTTGTTAAAAAAAGTGAGGGTTTTCAAAAAAATTTTTTTATATTAGATTCATCAATTACTTGAGAGATAACATTATTTACTGATTCGTTTGAAACAAAATCATAAGTTTACATAAAGAATTAAAGAAATAGCAAATATATATAATTAAAAAACTCTAACTGATTACATTCCTCTACAAAGAACTAGCTAAGGAATAATTATAATTACATTCAAAAAACTATATAAAGATTCGTAGATGGATGAAAGGAGACCGTTTTATCACATGACATAACACGCATAAGATCTTGTGCAGTGAAATCAAAATCTTTCTCTGTGGTCACTTTGACTCAATTTTTTTTTAAATTTAAAATAAATTTTAAATAAATGCTTTCGAGCTGTGAAATTAAAATACCTATGCATTTTTGTGCCAAATTTCATTATTCTATATTTTGTAATATTTCCTCTATATAATCTACATACACATACGCTTTTCCTTTTATTAATGCAAACGTGAATTTATAGATTTTTAAAAGCATTGATAAAATTAAATTTTGAATGATTAATTTATTTATTGTGATTTATTTTAAGTTTCTACCCTCACAGCGTGCACAACGAACGGGGTTTGGAGTCCTCTGGAAGGGGACGAGAGCACCCGGGTCGAACCGTCTCCTGTGCGTGAGGACGGTGCCCCCACGTGAGGGGCGCTCCCTTCCTCGCTTCTGCGGAAAAGAACGGTGCCAGGGCTAAACGTCCCCGACACTGGACTTCGAGGGCCCACCCGTATCTCTCTGAACAGTTTCACGTTTTATTAAAATCTCTCTTCAAAGTTCTTTTCAACTTTCCCTCACGGTATTTGTTTGCTATTGGTCTAAGGTCTTATTTAGCTTTGGGTGGAGTTTACTAGCTGTCTTAGGGCTGCACTTCCAAGCAACCTGACACGCGGGCGAGTCGAGGGAGAACCACGATGAGCGAAAACGGGCCTCACACCCTCTAAGGAAGATGCCCCGATCGTGGGGACTTCCCGCTCACACTAGGCCCGCCCAGCCGACTCGCCCAAACGCCACATTTCCCTGCACGAGGTAGGCATTCGGCGCTGGGCTGATCTCTGTTCGCTCGCCGCTACTAGGGGAATCACAGTTGTTTTCTTTCCTTCCGCTTATTAATATGCTTAAATTCAGCGGGTAGTCTAGTCTGTCTCAGGTCGTTACCAAAAAATTTCAAAGTTCTTAAGGTACCTCCTCCCGATTCTTAATGACGTCTCAAGGGAGCAGTCGGACGAACCCGAGAGTGGCCCTTCATGGGAAAGGCTCCCCCGGACACCAGCCATACCAGACGAGTCAGACGGCTCGGAAGAATTCCTTTCACACTTGAGCCGACGGGTAGACACCCGACTTGGCCAATGGACCCAAATATAAGGCATAGGTAAGATAAGACCCTCAAAAAGGCGAGACCTCCAGTCCGGGAAGACAGGAGGCCGCCATGCGCGTTCGAAAGCTCGGTGTTCAATGTGTCCTGCAATTCACACCAATTATCGCAACAAGCTGCGTTCTTCATCGACCCGTGAGCCGAGTGATCCACTGCTCAGAGTTGTCATGGTAATGTTCGAATTCAAATCGAATGGAATAGAGACATAGGGCGCGGTGCACTTTGTCGTACAGCTCTCGCTTAGCCCGAAGCCCCACAAGAGTTTGAACCCCCTTAGGCCCCGAAGGGTCCGGAAGCAGGCACGCCCACTCCATGTGAATAAAAGATTCTGGTGAAGACTCGATACTGGGTCGGAGAAAAAATGCACTTAGAAAAAAAAGTTTAAAAAACGCCGTGAAATGCAACACACAGCCCTACCTGATCTAGTTGTTCAACACACAACCCTATCTGATCAACACACAGCCCCTCTTTTTTTACCCTACATGATCTAGTTGATCATGTAGGGTAATAAAGCTACCAGCTATTGACTTAATAAAGCTACCAGAGCTCCCATCCTAACATAATGTACAAAATAATGCTTATGTGTGAAATACTATTTTCGAACAGTACACATTTATAAAAAAGTATCATGTATTATACATACAAAACTCATAATCAAAATCATTACGAACTAATAAAGCCTTATAATACGAGTACAGCAATATTTTTTCTTTGTTTAACTTTTTGAATATGGTAGATGATTTCACGTATTAATTTATATGAATAATAATTAGTAGCAAGGTCAAATGGCAAAAAAAAAAAATGAAAAGGGAAATAAAGGAAGAAAAATCAGCATTTCATCAAGAAAACACTAATCTCATAGTATTGTGTTTAAGAAAGAAATGCAAATAAAATATATATGAAAAAGTTCAACAAAGAATTTCTTGCAAATTGAAATGTTAAAATCGAGACATATTCTTGTTCATAAGAGTATTAAAAGAAAAGTGGCATTTTTTACAACATGGAATTTATAGTTATTATGAATTATATGATCATTTTTTATATCATAATTTAAATTAATAAGACAACAGGAAAAAGGAGACTTCAGTTTATATATTACTTTAAGGTTCCTTATTTTCAATTGTTGTAAAAATACTTTTACATAATTCAAGAAAATTGATTGTGGGAAGTACTAACAACAAAAATAAAAATAAAAAAAGGAATAAGAAAAAAAAACAATTCCGTTTACGGTTTTACGAATCACTGATTCAAACACCAAAAATGCTAACACTTTTTTAATATTATTAAGCTATTCAATTTAATATCAGATTTAAAGCAAATGATGTTACAAAGACGCAATGGAGATTTGATAGATTGGTTGTCCAGAAAAGATATTCAGAAAACACTTTATTTTGAAATGTGCTTGGGTGACTATTTTGTTGTTGACTAAAACATTCACATTTAGGTGGTAATAAAAAGAGTTGATTAAAGTTTCTGCTAATGTAATAGAATTCTACCTCTGTAACATGCAATTCATTGCTCCATACCAGTGACATTAGGGAAACAAACAATCCAAATTTAGGGTTTCCTTCCAATTCAAATAGATAAATACAAAAGCAAATAAATATATCAAGAGTTGGACTTGGAGTGACATTGGTAGAATTCTTTCTATCCAGATCACCTAATGCTCCTATAGAAGCAACAGAATGCATTTTTGAAAAAACTAAAACATAAACGACGACTACAAGTGTTAGAAGAGGAAAAAACAAGTAAAACAAAAACATCTGTGATCCACTTCATGGTCTTACTCTAGAAAGTTTTCTGTTGAATCTAGAGCAGCGAAAGGGAAGAGTCCTGTTTTTAGATTTATTCGCAGTGATAGACAGAGAGAGAGAGAGAGAGAGAGAGAAAAGCACTATTGAAATCTGATTTTTCTTTTCTTAAATGGAATGAAGAAAATCTCAGTAAATAAATAAATGTGGCCTTAAGAAAAGGGAAAAAGACATGTACTATAAAAATGTTTCAGTTTGTCCAGAAGACACGTATGAAACGTGTGGTTGAGCACAGAGCTCTGATCACGTAACAACAGGATTTTAAACCTCTACGTACCCTCCATCCACTTGGAAAAAGTCCTTATATATCATAACTGCAATATTTTACATTTTCAGAGATATAAACATCTATTTATTTGTCTATTCAAAAAGAAAATGCATTTTTGGACTAAATGCTTAGGAATCTTATGACATTCTAAAAGCCATTCATAGGAATGAAATAATCAATAATAATGATACTCTAAACATGACACTGATATTTTATTTATGTAATTGCTGTCTTAAAATCTTGAATGACCCAATTTTCAATGGTAACGTTGAAGCTTTTTTATTTTATTTTAATGGTAAATAAAATAATATTAAGTAAATTAAAGAAAAATGCACAAAATATACAACAAAGCATTTATGAATCTGTACTACAATATATTAAAAGATATTTTAAACTGTCTTACATACACATACATACACACCCACACATATGTATAATACATATGCTGAGTGTCAGAGTTCGATTGATAGTGCTCAGACGGTTCTGTAGAGCGATCTAATTGCTAGAATCGCGCCGTATATCGTAGGAAGAATAAACAAGATAGGACACAGGATCCCGTGAAAAGGTTACCATTAAATGAATATGCGGTGCTATACAATTGAAAAGGCAGTTTCAAAAAATTCAGAATCAATACTTAAATAAAATTACTTTTTATTTAGTACACTTCACAGTTTAATTCAATCTCAATATGGCAACTATTATTTATAAGATTAGAAAAATTTATATAAACACTGATACATTTCTTTAAGTGCAATTCCATTAACTGAGTCCCACAGAAAGTGGGTGTAGCGGACACAGTACCAGTTTCTTGGGCTATAAAACATAATATATTTCTTTTTGAAAAAAGTCGGATTAAAAGTTGCGTGTAATAATGTTTCTTTCTTAAATCGAGCATGCGTAACTTGTCAAATTCTTTCATTTCAAACTAATACAATACGTGAGTCACTCTTCGTGTTTTACAAAACAAAAATGCATAAAGGTAACTGTCCTGTGTCAGTTAATTTTTGAAAAGCAGTGTTTTTTAAGTTTGTGAAAGCAGGTTCTCTGAAGGTTCTATCAGGCAAAGGACAACAAAACTCGCATAAGGGATACAATTGAAGTTCATGGACTGAACTGGAAATTCCTGACAATATGTTACTTTCTGTTGTTAAGATGAATGTGATATGGGGTCTACAAAAATGGCCTACACATTGAAATTGATTTAAATGTGCTAAATAAAAGGTAATTTTATTTCACTATTGATTTTGAGTTTTTTAATTTTTTTCAATTACACAGCGTAAAATATTCTCTAAGGGAAGACTTTTGGAACTCATTTTTGGGGGTAATCCTTCGTTCCCTGCCTTGCGCAATCCTCCTACAAATGTTTGCTTAATTCTTGCAATTAGATCCCTCTACATAGCACTTTTAGCTCGGTCCGTTTAATTATGGCCACCCTGTGTATGTGTATATATATATATATATATATATATATATATAATATGTATATATGTATATGTATATGTAATAATAATATCCTTAACAACAACATATATATGTAGCAATATAACTCTTTCTTTCAACATATGTATATGTATGTATATGATAATAAAAATTATGATTCACAAGACATCCCGATTATGGCAATTCATGGGATTTGCTCTTGTGTCTAAAAAGTGCTTGTTTAAAGAGAATCAAGTAATAAAAGCTAAATTAAAGATTGAAAATGTATTATAGAAGAGTTGATATAAATTGTAATTAAAACGTATAAGATCTAAATTTTAATGCAAAATCAAATCTTCACAATTAACTGAAAATTTATAATAGAAGACACAGTGAAATAAAAGCAAAATTTAGAACAATGAAATAATGTAATTAATACTTTTCTATACTTTGGAATGGACTAATGTGTATTTATATCATTATTACTAAGCAAACATCCCACTTCAGTAAATTATATTATAATAAAATATGGTAACAAACAAAAATCAGCAAATTCATAAAACCATCATAGGAAAGAGAAATAAGTAAGCTAAGTAGCAATATAATCAAATTCATATTATCAGCATACAGCAAAAATATAAATATAAATAAATATCTACTAAACAATAAGACAAAAAACATAAACTAAAAAGTTTATTATTTAAACTAAAAAGTCCAAAAAATATTTAATTAAACTTAAGAAACTCTCCCAAAAAACAAAATATAAAGTTACAAAAGACATGCCTTATAAGTATTGTATATACTTTATGAAAACAACTATCATCAGCTGAAATTAATAATTATAAATACAAATAATCCCTATAAACAAAATGCATATAAGAAAACAAAAAAAAATCAAGCATTACTATAACGAAAATATTTTAAGAATAAGGGAAATATTACAATATTCATACAAAGCCTACTACTTCTATCCAAGAAAGAGTTCACCGTCAAATTAAACACAGATTGTTGGATTAAAAAGGAATTCATTCCAAGAATTAGATTTAATTTTTTGTTACAAATAAAATTAATAACCAAAAATAAAATATTTATAAAACAATATTAAATATATTTAAAAAACAAAGTTAACAATAGATAAAAAAAAAAGATAAAGTCTATAAGAAATAAAATTAGCTCAGCAACAAAACTACAGAACAGGATTGAAAAAAACTATTTATGCAAAAGGCATTTAATATTAAAAGAAGATTTTTAAAGAAAGAGAGAGAGAGATGGAGAAAAAAATCATGAAATATATATATATATATATATAGGTTAATATAAAATCAGTATATACATCAGAAAAAATCTCAAAATGATACACATATGATTTCTAGTTGGAATTATAATTTTTATATTTTAAATTTCTCAAAAAAAATTAGATATTTAGCTTTTACGCATGGAATATAAAAAAAAATGTTCCTGTTATTCTGAAAATTAATAAGTAAATTAATTTGATATTTCTCCTTCAATAACTATTTAAAATATTTCTAAAAATATTTATTCTTAAATTACTATCAAATGAAGGCGCATTATTAATACGGAAACAGAACTTATCTCTCTTGACATAAATTTTACTAATAATCACATTATTAACTATTTTTAAAAGAAACATCTAAGAAATCTGTTTCATG